TTTTCAAAGTAACGAGTTGTCGCTTCTTATACATTTACGTTCTTTGTACATTTACGTTCTTTGGAGAAAGGCAACCCAAACCGGCCCTAAACCTAGTAAATGGCTAAAATCATCACAGTGTGGCAGCACTACGCAATTTTACCTCCCTTGTTTGGGCAGCACTGAAAATGCGAAAAATCGCACATTTCTTTGTCGGAATTTTCTTGTAATGTCGGATTTCTCGTCAAAGTGAAAATAAATTTTCGCTGTTAGTGTGAGGTCTTTGTCTTAAAAATAATTGAAAGGCGTTGAAAATTAAGTCCGTCTTTTCCGAAGAAACAAAAAATATGCCTGCAGTTGTACGCATTAAACGCAGAATCGATGAAGAGCCTCTAAGTGCCTTCATATTGAACAGCAAAAAGCGACGCCGTTTAGATAATGTGGTTGAGGAAGAGCTACAAGCGGAAGAAGGCGCAGCTGCTGCAGGCGAAGGAAATGACAAAGATGGCGAAATTTCGACAATACTTAAATTTGCGGGCACGATACAGGAGCAGGTATGTAATAGGAATATCGTATGAAATTCAATTGATTTTACTACGAAAAGGTGATTGTAATCATACAATTTTAATTAATCTTTGGCTAACTATGTTTTTTTATTGTAATGGCATTTTAAATAAAATTTAGGATAACAGCGCGACCACACAATTAGCGCGTCTTACAAAAGAGGCTGCCAAAGAGCTTGTACTGCAGAAATCACTGCGAACACCAAGTAATCACACCGAACGCGCACGACAGGAAATGCGACAAGCTTTACATGAGAGTCGCTTTCGTGTAGTTAATTGCATGCGCACAACACTTGAAGACACAGATGCTACAGAAGCGGCTGCAAAGGAAGTGACAATTGTCGATATTGAAAAGCAGGAAACAAGCGGACGTACATCTACCACGGCGACATCAGCAGCTGGACAATTAGATTTGCACCAGCAGAGAGAAGCCGTAAATTCGGAAGCACAGCCAGAGTCGCAGGTATTAGCCAGCAATAATACGCAACAATCGACTGATTCCGACACTGGTTATGTGTACGACTTGTATTTGCCAGATAATGAATTACAAGTGGAGTATGCCGATATGATGGACGATAACTATCTAAGGTTGGTTTTGCATATCGAGCAGATATTGCTCACCAGTCGCTTCATTTAAATCAGCGCACATATTAACAAAAATATATAGATGAAGAACAAATCATGAATATGTATGCGCCGATTTGTGAAGGGTGTGGGCTAGTTTATACACATTATTATGTTTATATGATTGGAAATGTGTTTATATGTGTGCATTTCGATTAATGGATGATGGTAAAATTTCATAAAAACAACAGATTTCCACAAATAGAAAGACGCATGCTAATAATTATTAAAACTCCATTATGGAAATTAAAAGAAGGAAAGAAAAAGAAATTAAGCGGTACTTGTGCTCATAAACTAAACATAATTGTTCATTAAATGCGGTCTATTACATACATACATATTACTGCACTGAATATGTTAATAGTAATATTGTTGCAAATTGTTGTGTATTTATTAAGGTTGTACTATCCGTTCAATTACTACCACAACAATACTTGCTACCACTACTACTATTGGTAATTGAGAATTAACATAATGAGAAAAGTTCTAAATTAAGTGCAAATAATCCATTCGGCGATTATACCCAATATGCAGACAGCGAAGGACATTGAAGGTAGATGATGCAGCAATGTAGCAAAATAATTATTATAAGCAACAAAGTAGATAAATGCAGAAAGCGCCACAGGCAAGCAGTATTGCCACTTGGAACGCCGGCAAATCACCCACAAATGCCAATCGTAGCAAAACGAAGCGCAAAAAAGTGGAATTATACATAATATTCAAATACTATCACAATTAGTAATGTTTGTAATTTGAGCATAACATACGCGAAAAAGCTTGCCAAAAAATAAATTAAAAATATTTGCGAAACAACACATGAACGTTCCCCGCAAATTCTTTAGTTTACTTCTTGAGGTTTTGTAAACCAATATTTAAGTATAGGCGCTTCGGGGAATACCGCTGGTTTCCGTTGATATCAAAATTGGCAAATTTAATTATCATTATCCAATCAACTAAAATTCTGCTTGTATAAACGTTTACTTGATTTTCATGCAACATCAATTCATATATTGTTTTCTCTGTCACACACTATAGCAGCGGAATTGATTTGCTAAGTACTTTAATTTTATATTTTTTATACGTATTGCGTTTTTTTATTAATAAATTATGTTAGCTCAGGCATAAGACATAAGAAAACGTAAAGCGCACACCCGCAGCGTGCAGGCTGAAATAATATCAACACAAATTTTTGTTTTAAGTTCTTATGCTAAGTATTATTTTTATATGCCTTAAAACCAAATAATTTTAAGCCTTGTTAAGTGTATACATATGTATGTACTCATGTATTTGTAGTTAAGTCGTTGTTTATTTGTACGTTGTGGGTAACTGAAAATAAATACTTGGTTTTCAACAACCAAAGTCGCTTGGAATATGGAAGTAAGAAATGCAAAATTAAAAACGAAAAAAAGCTTAAAAGTCATAAATAAAATATTAAATGAATAAACTAATTTAAAACGACTAAGTTTAAGTTGATTTATATTCAAATCTATGCAAAACGCAAACTTAAAATCTAAATATTAGCATAAAAAGGCTAGGAACTTAAGCATAAAATCGATTAATTTTTGCATAAATTGCGTTTTTAGTTTTTAAGTAAAACTATGAAATATACCTAAACATATATTATATATGAGATGAACAAAAAACAAGTTTGTTTTATTCATTGTTACAAATTTCGGCAAGGGAATGTGTCGTGACTTTTTTGGTTGTGCCAAGTTTTTATTTTCATTTATTGTAAAGAAATTATTTTGTTTAAACTTGCTGTACAAAAGCGTGTGTTGTCTTTAGCGACTAGTGTCACATAAAGCAGGGCTCAGCGCACAAATATGCCGAGCATGCATAAATAGGCCACAAAACACGCTCATCATTTCGGTATGCGGAATTTAAGGTGCCCTCTATGCATCAATATGGCTTTAGAAAAAATCACAGAACTTAACGTCATAATCACTCAGGCTTTTAACGGAACTGTCCCTGTAAGACAAGAGTTCCAGGCGCGTTGGACTTGCCGAAAGTATTCGACCCTGTTTGTCACTCTACGTTACTAGAGGACATTGAAATATCTTCACTTAACGCTCATATAATAAAACGTAGCAAACAAATTATTTGACTAGCCAACAAGCGTCAGTACTCGCTCAAAATCGAATCTCGATGTCAAGAAGAATTAAACAGAAGGGTCCATGTGGGCCCATTCCACAGAGAGAGATTCACTGACCTCCCTACTCTGATGATTGCTCGATATTAACGCTTGGCAATGGCATTGGTGACTTGTGTTTGAAAGTAAACAACTCTCTCTCAGGCGATTAGCTGGCCGGTTCTAAATTATGCTGCACCATTTCGATCACCAGGGGCTAGTTGGAAGCAGTTGGGTCTACGTAACCGGAACAACCTAAATTTATATCTGTGCAAGGACTGTCACTTCAGCAACACTCGCCAAAAGCTCTAACCCAATAAGCAGGAATACGTTTAGTATTTTTTCTAAATTTTGAATAAATTGGCATCTTAAACTACAGTTGAGGTCAGCTAAAAGATTATATTTGGATTAGAACCAAACTATTTGGTGTTTGCAGAAAAAGGTGGTTCTCTCAAATGGCTACAGATATGAAAAAAAAGCATTTGATCTTTAAAAATTCATTTATTTCCCCGTTTCTTTTCAACTTCTAGTATTCGTCCTTGCGATGGCCTTGTCTATGAGGATCATTTTAATGATGATGATGAGGAAGGGGATTCTGAAGATTCGAATAATGAAAATTACTATACAAATGATTATCCCGATGAAGACGATGATAATGAAGATTATAAGGATTCTTATGATCATGATGACATTGATGCCATGGCACTGGGTATTAGGCGTATGCGAGTTGGTAAGTGGAAGTGGAACGAGTAAAATTTTATAAATTTTTCGAAACTTTCGAGACTTTTCAGTTAAATAGAATACTTTTAAAATTTATCGAGGCTATTTGACTTGTTGGAATTAGAAAATTGCAATATTTTTTCAGTCTTGTTTACCTCAATTGAGGCCATGAGAGCAGAAGTGGCTTAACCCAAAATTTATTTTTTTTTATTTTCCTACTGAAAATAGTCTCAAATTTGGTTAATTTTAAAATAAAAGTCGTTTATTCCTTAATTTGATGGTACGCTATGTGGCCCTGTAAATTAAAACTGAGGAAAAAGCGTTATTTATTTAAAAATGTATCACATTTGATACTATTTTAAGTAGGTAAGTCCAAGATAAATTTTTTGAGTTAGGCCACTTCTGCTCTCACGGCCTCAATTTATGTTACATAAATTTTTAATTTTTTTTTGTTAAAATCAAAACATTTAAATTAAACTTTCATTGAAGAGTCTGTGTATTTTGAAAAGTTGTTTTCAATTACTGTTGCATTTTATTTGCATTTTAATTCTCTGCATCTTTTAAGGCACTGATCACGATTACATACATACCTTCGATGGTGACGATACCAGTATGTCCGAATTTGAAGAATCCTCTGATGATGTTTACTATGATGATGCAGACTACATTTATGGCCGAAGTCATGTGCGAGTGCATGGCATTGGCGATGTTGATAGTGATGGTGATGACACCGATGATGTGGACTATTATGATGCTGGCGGTAATAGCGATGATTCAGATGCCTAAATCTACTATACGGTTTTCCGCTTATTCGGATTGAGTCTTCTTTATTTAACTATTTAATTTAACCTTTCTGAATATTTAAATTGTATTTGTATTGTCATTTCCACACAAACTTAAAATATTCTCCAATAAGACTTGATGATATTGAATATACATACCTAAATAAGCATAAATGAACTAAAATAATAATAGCTGTTGTACTTGTATCGGATCGAATGAGCTATTGACGCCAGTCATTGAAAATTGCTGTTGCTAAAACTAACTAATAGTTTCTTGGTTCTATTCTAAGACAGGAGATGTGCTGTTAACACTGGCTAGTAGAAAACTTTACTTCCATTAACAAAGTAGTTTTTTTGTAACGACCTTCTATATTTTAACTTTGCTTCGTTTAAATTTGTGTTGTGTAAATAAATACAGCCAAAATAAAACTTCAAATTGCAAACTTCATTTCCGTCTAATCAGTAAAGTAACCGGTTCGCTTAATCGCATGCAGGCATAATACAAAAGCACCCCAACAACACTACATACATATGTACATTAGTATCAGGGAAGCCAACTCGTGGGGAGTTCCCCGATTTGAGGGGAATTTCAGTTTGCCTGCGTAGTCGGGGGAATGAACCTTTTTTTGAGGGGAATTTCAGTTAGTTCAATTCTAGTACAACAAAGTTTCAAATGGCTAAAAATTGTCGTTGCTTTCTTAGAAATTTCTTTATCGCATTTGCTTTCATATAACTAATAAACACAATTTATTTTTATATGGAAGCAAACCGCAACAACTTCAGCAAAAATATTCTAAAACGAAAATTTTTGCCCCTAGAAAATTGCACTAGAATTGAGTGAGTTACAAAACTGCATACTCAAAACCCATGATTCAATACAAGGCGAATTAATATAAGGTGATAGTAGGAGTACAAAAACAAAAATTTACATGTATTTTGTTTTTGCTTTGGCGGCATAAACTGTCAAAATCTGTAAGAGTGTGTGTAGAAATTCAAACAAAATTTTTCAATTTGATATCAGAAGCCGTGCGGCGAAACACATACACAAAATCAGCTGAGCTGGTAACACCACCTTATATAAATTCGCCTTGATTCAATACAAGGTTGGATAAATATTGACATTTGTTTCAATCGACTGCCTTGTAAGGTTGCATTTGAGAAGGAAATCATTGAATCATGCTCAAAACCTTTCTAGAAAATCTAATTAATAGGTCGAACTTTTTACGAAAGTTTGTTATTTTTTTTTATATTGCACAAAGTTTGAAACTTGCATTTATACGGTTTTCGTTAAAGAGTGTACTATATATTTATAAAAAAAATACTCAAATTAAATAACAAAACATAATAATTGTGGAAACTTGGCAAAATTTGGTGCGCCTAAATTATTTTCGACCACTGTTTGTAAGGAGATATATAAAAATTTGTTATTCTTTATTTGTTAACTAGCTTTATGAAAGTTTGGTTTGGTCTATGAATACATAACGTCGTTTAAAGTACTAAACCGCGTATCGTCATTCTGCAAAACCGCGTAACTGACATTTGCTGCCAAAAATTGGATTTGCTCACACAATCCCGTTACGCGGTTTTGCATTTTGTTGATAAGCGGTTTTGTACTTTAAACGAAGATAATAATAAAATAAACAAATCGGGGAATTTCATTGTTGAAGTCGAGGAATACTCAAAACTGAGTTGGCCCTGGTATGTATCTACAAGCTGCGATTTGTGGTGAATTTCTTGATATTCAATTTTGCACCACTGCTATAGCTACGGTGACCATCCGACCTGTATTATACGGGACAGTCCTCTTTTTTTGACCCATTGCCCTGGTAATTTATTTATTTTATACGGGACGCCAAATTTTCTGTATTTCTTTCAATGTCCTGTATTTGTCCCGTATTCGGTATTTCGACGCCTTAACAGCTCATTAAAATGGTATGCCATGAACCACTTTTAAGTGATTTTGTTTTCTCCATTAACAGTTATTATTTTCTAATCTGAATGCCTGTGATTCGAATCGAGGAATATATCCCTGCAAAAATCGCGACTACTCCATGCATGCGTGTAAAGAGTACTCCCTAAGGACCAAAGAGTACTCCAAAATTAACCACAATTCATATAAAAAATATGGTCCAATTAACATTGCGATGTCCTAGGGCAGGACCATATACTCCATCCCTGCATTACATCAGAGTAGCACAAAACTACTCCAACATATTAACAATGGGCATTCTTGTTATATTTTTTCGTTTGTACACGCTTTTGTTCTTCACTTCTCAAATGCTTTTTCGAAATTAATAAACACCAAGACAAAAATTAAAAATTACATGTTGCCTCTGACGGTATTCGAACCCGAACATGCTGGGAACTAAGAAATAACAGCGAGCATCTCTACACGTTCAGCTACAGCCAGACATGCAAATGTGCTTTCAAATGCTCAACTTCAATCACGTTTCGTTAAAACACGAGCAGTGATCGGATAACAAACAATAAGCTGCCGCAGAGACACGAGTTGGTCCGCTACAGCATGACAGAGGAACACTTTTGTAAGTACTCCAATTTACCACAAATAGACTACATGGTCCAACGATTTTTGCAGGGATACAGTGAGCAAAATATAAATTAGGACTCGACATTTTGCCTATTTTTCTTTAGTTTATTTTTTTTTTTTTTTATGTTATTTAATATTAATTATTCTTTTATGAAAGTAAAGCTCTTTTCCAAACAAAAACCATATGAATTCAAATTTCCCACTTTCTGCAAAAAACCATTAAAAAAATTGTCGAACATACTTACATTGTATGAAAAAATGCGTAACGTCAAAAAAAAAATTGCCAAAAATGATTTTTTAACAAATTTTGCAAGGTAAAAATTTCGAGAAAAATATGCTACAAATTTGTGATGTTACTAAAAGGATGCTGGCTAATACATCTAGAATCGTGGAAGAAGGCTTTAAATCTGTAAGTGGTTGTGGAAAAAATTTGCAAAATTATTCTTTGTCCCGTATTCGGCTCCCATAAATATGGTCACCGTAGCTATAGCTGCTACAAAACGCCAACTTCACTGCTTACCGCACTGCCGCACCAAACCAAACTCTGCTCCAGAAAAGCGTGTTTTCCAATTGCATGTACATAAATACATATATAATCCATGTATGGTAGGTTTTCGATTGCTTTTACGCTGCTTTGGGCAGTGTTGCCAACTTTTCAGTTTCAAAAAGAACCAAACTTTGGAAAAAAGAGCGTTTTACCGCACTAAAAGCACTAAATTTTTTTTTATCAAAGGATACTCTTTTTCATAACAGTTTGTGGTAAACAAAAGTAAAAAAATAAACAATATTTACATGTATAAATAAATACACATTCAGGCTTGCGAAACTGGTACATCTGGAGAAGGAACAATCGAATCGCAGCAACCGAAATTGAATTTTAAAGGGGAAGAGTAATACTTAATGATACCCTAAGTAGAAATGAGCGAAAAAATTTGCTGTTTTATAATATAACCTCAAATATTGCGAAAAACCATGTTTTTACACTTAGAGGCTAGGATGTCTCAAAATTCTGACGTGGTAGAGAAATTCTGCAGCTAGATTTGGATTCAGCACCGAAAAATCTACACAAACGGGTCCACTCAGATGGCAAAAAAAGTTAAAATTTCTCGAACTGTGCAATCAATCAATAATCTAGAAAATAAAAAAATAAATACTTAACTTATCTGCGTGCTAGCATTTTCAACGCGAATACAATTTAACAAAAACGCAAGGACGTGGGTTTGTAACTTCATCCTTTTATCAATCATGGTTTGAATTTTAGTGCATTTAAATTTGTAGATTCTTGTAAATTCAGAAATTTTAGTTCAGAAAAAAGCACTAAAATGGGCACTAGGCACTAAACCATTATTTTTGGCGTTTTAATTTTCAAAAAGCACTAAATCTAGTGCTTAAAGCACGTGAACGTGGTAACGAATCGTTTTGTTTTGCAATTTGTATACCCGAGCTCACTTGTGCACAAGGGTATATTAATTAA